AAACGTTATAAAATTAGACCCCAATTAAATTCCAAAAAATAGTCAGCTAATTGCTTAACTAAAAGGCACACTGAAGCGCTTGACACTTTTATAATTAATGAGAGTCCTAACATCTCGATAACCCTTCTTTTGAAGTTAGATTCCTTTGGTTTGCCAGGGAAAGGAGAAAAACTGGGACACGTTCTGGAGTCTGTTACTTTCAGTAATGTTATGAAATTGTTAACCTATTGGGTGTGTAGACAAGTAGATAAACACAACAGTAGAAAAGGCCCCATCCTGGAGGCTAGAGAGATGGCTCAGAGGCTAAGAACATTGGCTGCTCTTCCAAAGATTCAGAGTTCAGTTCCTAGCAACCACATGGTGGCTCATAACCATCCATGGTGAGATCTGGTGCTCTCTTCTGGCCTTCTAGCTCACATGCAAGCAGCATAATGTATTTAAAAAAATCTGAAAGAAAATAAAAATAAAAAGGAAAAGGCTCATCTTGGGTGATGGTGAGAAGCAGGTAGGGGTGTAGAGAAGTTGTTTACTGAAACTACCCAAAGAGCTATTTATTGATGAAATTTGAGTACTGGCTGAATCTTCTTTTGACCAAGACAAGAATACCCTAAACATTTAAACACTAAACCACATCTACTTACCCCAGTGTCCACAGCAATCACACTGCACTCTGCCCATCTGGGAAATATGGCTTCAGGTTCCCAGTCATAGAGGCAAATCCTGCATTCACCTGGAAGGAAACCATGAGTGACCACATTTGGGACTCTAGAGTTCCCTGAGGCTGGTTCTTATCTGCAAATTTCCCCCGATCTCTGATACTCCCTTTTCCCTCTCTTCTCTTCCTTCTTCCCCCAACCCCACCCAAAAACCACATCTACCACATTCTTCCTTGACAAGGTCCTCCTCTGTAGCTCACACTAGCTTAAACTCCCTGAGTTCTGTCTTTAGACTTGCTCTGATCCTTCTGCTGCAGGCCCTGGCGTGCTGGGATTTTTGTTGTGAGCCACCAAGCAGCAAGCTTCTGTTCTTATTTGCAAAGTCCATCTTCTGATATATGTTTCTTCACTTTTTTCTTTTTCTTTTTGAGAGACTGACCTCCTGCAGTTCTGTCTTTAAGGCACCCCCCAAATTTTCCATGCCATTTAAAGAACTTTAACAGCAACTCTGAATAACAAAAGACAAAAAAGATAGAGGAAACTTAAAGAAGCTCTACTATGATGGACAGCTAGAGCCAGGACCAGGTCAGGGGCAGAGCAAGGGGAGGGTGGAGCCAACTTAGTGTACTTGTTTTCATTCATTCACTCATTCATCATTCATTCATTTTCCCATCCACTCATTTGTCCAATTCATTTGTTTGACAAGTATGTGTCAAGGGCCCTCATGCAGGATTGGTTGAAGAACAATCGTCGTGGAGTGTTGTCACCCCTCTTTTTAGGAGTTTCCCAGTCTCTGAAGCCTGAAAAGCAAATGAGGACTTGCTCTGCCTGTCATTGCTGTGTGAAATGAATCTGGATAAAGGAAGTACATACGTTCAGTGTTTCTAAGACCGGCAGCGCAGATCTGTGCTATCTTAGGAATCTTAGGTTAAAACAGCTAAGGACCAGTTTCACTGGTGTATTAGCATCCTTTTATACACTGAAAAGTAAAATAACCGTGACCCTGACAAAATCCAAGCCATCATCTCAAGGGAAACATGTAGAGTAAGTGTAAAAAAAGTATTAATACCCAGAAGTATTACTGTTTGTCTGCAGTCTCACAAATGACTAACTAGTGCTTAAAGAAAGGCTTGAATTTGAATCATCATTTTATTAAGTAATATTCAATCACCCATTTTTTCACCAAAAAGGTAAGTACTTACCGAAGAAAATCAGGATGACACAAGAAAGTATGGAGAAGATGATGAAAATTATTTAATGTAAAGTTAGGGACAATTGCTCCTGCCATCAAGAGGCAAAATAACCTGCTTGTGTGTGCCCTGGTGTTTGTGACCGCCACGTCTCTGTGCTTCAGCCCTGACAGGCCCAGGTCTCGTTCGGATGGTAGAGGTTTGTGTGCAGTCCATCAAGCGGCACTTGGACAGGCTGGACGAAGTCACTGACAGTTCGGGCCACGTGGACGTGTTGACTTTCATGAGGCACATCATGCTGGACACCTCTAACATGCTCTTCCTGGGGATCCCCCTGGACGGTACTGGAGCTTGACTCCTCGTGCATTCTTGGGTCTGCTCTTGCTTAGGCACTTCGAAGACTTCCTAAGGATGTTTTCTCTCTAGCCTTTCTGCCTTGCTCATTCATTTATAAACCTGCCAAGTAGAGGCAACCCCCATTTTCTGATCTCCCGTGTTGCTCAGGCATTCTACCACAGGCAAACACTATCAGCTAATCTGGTCATTAGCACAGCACAGGGAGATTGGATATATTTAAGCATTCTTTTGGACATGACACATACAACTGTTTATTTATACAAAAACATATCTCTCAAAGTTTCTCTACATGAAAACTTGACTATATATGATAAAATGATGGTGACAATGCTACCGATATTGACAAACAATGATGCTAACAGCTGCCAGGCCTTTAGTACCTACTGTGTACCAAGCAATCTGAAGAGCTACATTATGTTCATGTCTGCCATTTAACAGCTATAACAACCCACTAAACATCTTACCTTCTCCACTAAGCTAGAAAAGACAAATATTTTAAAATGCGCACATAACCACCACCCAAAATTCCCTTGGATAAATTCCCTTCTGCTGTTGACATTAGGGTGTGGTTTTCCTTAAGTCAACTTATAACCATGTTCATTGGTTCATCTACTCCCTCAACCAGTATGTGTGGTTGCCTATTTTATATTCTAGGTTCTGGAGAGAGCCAGAACGATGGGCGATGTTTGAGGAGTTTATATTGCAGTGGGGTATGTGAACAGCACAACTAGGACATTCCAGGTTACACAGCAGGCGATAAGTGCCTCGAGGCAAAACCAAATCAGGGTAAAAGAAAGAACAGGGATTGAGGGCACAGTGTGGTCATTTCCATTATGGAGTTGTGGTAAGGAAAGATCTCTTCAGAGAGGATACTCAGACACATGCAAACGGAACCGTGTGCAGCCCCGAGAGGAAAACTATCTAGGCAGGAGCACGAGGCATGTGCTCTAGCACTTGTGGGAACCATCTGAGCCGTGTTACCTCATTTGCTGCAAGATCAGCTCTAAGCCCTTCCTTTCTCCTTCCAGCTCTCCCGGGCTTATCATCGCTAGTCTACTGTTCTTTACGGGACTATAGAAACTCTGTCTGATGATGGGGAGTTTGGGTGTCACCGTTTACTTGGTCTTCTCCCAGCCTTTCTGGATACATCTTTGCTGAAACTGCACAGAGGCTCTGCTCCCTGAGTCTCCCCATGCCTGGATTGTTAGGAGGGGCTGTGGCAAGAGAACTGTAGATCTCTGCACTGATCAATGGTTGGATCCAGACGGTGACACCACAGAACCTGTATGACCTATGTGGGTTATGTTTGCTTCCTTTATACTGGGTGCTTGTTAAACTCCCAAGATGAGCTGCTTGCGCAAATACTTTCTGCATCCTTTATTTCTATCAATCTTAGTTGTGTGTGTTGTTGTTGTTGTTGTTGTTGTTTTCAAAACAAAGACAGCATCACTTTCCTGGGAAGACTAAGGATTAAACTTAAAAGCTCTGTAAAGCAACCTAGAAGTGATCGGCATTTAAACCTTTTGGCAGTTAAAAGTAAATGTTGATTCCTTTCCCATTTGTGTATAGGTCAGGTGCAATTTGAAAAAATTAAGCAAGGACTTTCTCTTTCTTTTTTTAAATTCAATTTAACTTATCATTTATCTGTTAATAACAATGCATGAGGCTCAGAACAGTGCAATGAAGAAACTGAAATGAATTGTGCACTTTGGGCCAAATACAGATAAGTATGAAGGCAATGTGAAGAGGGCCATAAAATGGTCATAGCCCTGGGCAGTGAGGCATTGAGGAACTGTGAGTTAGGTGAATGATCCAAGTACATGGTCAGGTTAATGTATCACCTAACTCCAAAATCAGCCGAACTGTGTTAGCAGCTAAACAGGCTTGGTGTTCTGAAAATTAAATGTCATTATTATTATCACTGATGGGGGGGTATGTGCTGCTGTGTATCTGTGGAGGTCAGGGGACAACTGTGGAGCTATTTCCCTCTTCCCACCTTTATGTGGGGTCCAGGAATTGAACTCAAATCATTGAGAGGCAAGGTCTGTTACCCACTAAGTCATCCACCTGTCCCAACAACGCTCCTCCAGCTTCCAGGACCGAGGATGCAATAACTCTAATGAATGCTCTCGGTGTCTAGAAAAGCCAGAGAGAGCAAGAAGTTCACCCAAAAGGGGATACGAGAGAGTCTAGGCTGTGGTCTCAAACACAAACTTGAAAACTGCCAATTTGGTGGCCAGCTCAGCCAACTTAGATGCCAACTAGATAAAGGAAAAATGAATTTGCTTTGTAGTATCATGCAGCTGGGCCATCCACTGGTGGTCCAAGATTGGCAGAAGAGTCTGCCCAGAGTAGGGCTTCTTTAGGCTCATGTTTTCCTCAGTGAATTTGTCCTTGTTTTTATTTCACAGAAAGTTCCATTGTGAAAAAAATCCAGGGTTATTTCAATGCATGGCAAGCTCTCCTCATCAAACCAAATATCTTCTTCAAGATCTCTTGGCTCTACAAGAAGTATGAAAGATCCGTGTAAGTAACACAAGCTTGGAGGATTTACAAGTGCAGACAACACTGCACCGTTCAGTCAGTCTTTGTTGTTCTTGGCCACTTTGGTAGGTTTTATGCTCCCCAGAGCGCAGAAGGGCATGTTAAGTTACTTGCCAAACATTCGTAGCAAGTTGGCTGCGTTGGGACAAGCCAAAGAGTAAAGCAAGCCTTTGGCCAAGTAGCTGCCCAGCAAGGGCCAAATGTGGGTCCCAAGAGCTCAGTGGCACAGGGATGCTGTGCTATATGTTGAGTTGACAGAAAGGCAGAGGTAACCCTAACAATGACACCTGTGAGAACTTTCTGAATATCTAGAAAAATGGAAACATAGAATTAAAGTCACAGCTTTGAGATCACTACCAGCGCTTGGAAATCTCAGCTAACTCTAGGACTGACTGTAAGATGTGTAGTTCATGTAACTTATAAATATTTGTGAAGAAATAAAATATAAACCCGTTTACTTGTGAATGCCAGCACCTTTAAAACAAGCAGAATCAGTTTTTCTGGAAGTCCAAATTGAGAAAATGTTGACTTTTTTTTCCCCCTTCAGCAAGGACTTGAAAGACGAGATAGCTGTTTTGGTGGAAGAAAAAAGACACAAAGTTTCCACAGCGGAGAAACTGGAAGACTGCATGGATTTTGCCACTGATTTGATTTTTGCTGAGGTATTGACCTGGACGAACCACAGTTCCCCACCTGACATATATTAGGACAGTGAACCACTACCTAAAGAACCCTTTTGAGAACGGCGGCGCGGCTTCTCTTTAGAAATTTCTCCAGCCGTCTACGGCAGTCCATCAAAGCAGCCCAAACAGCTGTTTTATGAGACTTATCATTCAAATTCTCCTGTATTATATAACACATGAAATCAGAAACTAAATAAAAATATCCTTCAGTATCTGGGATTTTATTCTAGAACCTTCCCCAGATACAAAAACCCAAGCGTGTTCAATCTCATCTCTGACGTGCCGTAGTACTTGCAAACATTCTCCCTTAGGACTGATCATACCTAGCATAGTCTAACGCTGTGCAAGAAGTTAGGGTGTTATATTGTTTAGGGAATGATTATAAAAAGTGTGTAGCTGTTCAGTAAAAACACCACAAAAATGTATGTGATGCCCAGTTAGCCGCATCCATGGATGGGGAACGCTAGGATATGGTAGGTCAATGGTAAATAGATAACTAGCTATTTGTTTATCTAGAGGCAGAGTATTAATGTGTAAAATGTTGGCACCAATTCCGGAACCTCTAACTTCATTTTGTTGAGGTTGTTGGTGCTTGAGTGTCGCCTTCCTTTTAGTTTCTGAAATTTTGATTCCCTTTTCCTACGTTTTCTCCTCTTTGAATCCTCCAGCGACGCGGAGACCTGACGAAAGAGAACGTGAACCAGTGTGTCCTGGAAATGCTGATCGCAGCGCCTGACACCATGTCTGTCACCCTGTACTTCATGCTCCTTCTCATTGCAGAGCACCCTGAGGTTGAAAAGGCAATCCTGAAGGAAATCCACACTGTCGTTGGTAAGCACCTGTCAAATAAATAACAGTGCTTCTAGGCCCCCTTCTGAGCGCAGGTGTCAGCTGCTTCTTACATCTTAGGAATCTGGACAGCACACGTAAAACCTTAAGGAAAAGTAACGTAAGTAGTTCAGTCACATCTTGCCTGGCTGGGTAGGCTAAAATGACAGTCTCTCCTGTTTATACTGTACAAATCATAAAAGTAATTAGTGCTTACTGAAAACTACCACAGCAATGCATAAAGTAAACGCCCTCACTCTTTTCACTGTCTCTGGGCCTCGTTCCCACCCCCATTTTCTGCTTGTATGTTCTTTTTTTATTTGTGTGTGTGTGTGTGCGGGTGCGTGTGCTTGCACATACATACATGCTACCGTACGAATGTGGACATCAGCGGAGAGCGTGTGGAAGCGATTTCTCTTCTCCCAGATGGATTCTGAGGATCCGATTCGGGTTTTCTGGTTTGGTGGGAAGTGCATTTACCTGTTGAGCCATCTCTCCAGCTTGAAATCTTCTTACTCTGAGTGCTCACAGACATCTCTATGGTCAAGTTTGTCCAGTTTTGTCATGTAGTACTTGTGCATAACCTGCTTAATCCTCCCATAGGCGCTAAGTCACCTCTCCATTGTTTATAATCCCCAATGCGATGTAATGCCATATAGGGAGTCATGATGCTGTATTACCTAGAGAGTAACTACAAAATAAAGGCCCGCGCATGTTCAGTACAAGCACAGTAAAAATATACTTATGTGGAACAGGAGTATATTCTCTGCCCGAGTCATCAGTTACGTACTTCTTTTTCGGTGTCTTCCCCTAGGAAAATGGCTGCCGTTTAGAAACGTGTTCGTGGGTTTCACTTAGTGGCAGGAGGAGGATGGAAGGGTAGCAGCAGAATCAAGGATGTGACGGGCCTCCTTCTCCACTGCAATCGGTGGTATTGGCCTGTCTCCCACTCTTTCACCTCCTCTGCAGGGAAGCCCCCCCACCCACCCCCCCGCGGCTCTGTCAGCTCTTCCACCCTCAGGTTCATGGCTCTGCCTCAGCAGCATCTTGCCCTGACTCTTTAGAAACACAAAATCAGAACTCTTTTCTGGGAGAAAACAAAAAAAACTGATTTGGAATTGCCTTTGCCTGTGTGAACTTTTCAGGAACACATTCCTCACAGATGGGAAAAAGACCTAACCTGAGAGGGACTTTGGTCGCTTTACACAGTGCTGGTGAAACTGGTTACTGGTTGTGGAATGGCCACGTTACTGCTGCTTGGCATGGTTGATACTAAGGAAAAGCTGCATTAATTTAAGTACCCGAGAGAAGGGTTCTGTAAATGCAGTGATAAGGGTGAACACGCCTGGCAAGGAGAGGAAAAGAAACAGGATAACGCAGTTGCAAATCCCAGAATGTTTTCTCAGTGTTTTCCACAAGGCTTTCCGGGTCTCTGTGGATGGCAGGGTCACAGCATTCGCTAGGCTGGCTTGTTGGCTGGAGGGAGGAAGAGAACTCCGTTCTAATGGAATGAAAAGAGAGGGTGCTGCAGGGGATCTAGAAGAGGATTTTGAAAGCACGCTTTTATCAGATCTCTGATGGAGATCCCTGAGAGAGAGAGAGAGAGAGAGAGAGAGAGAGAGAGAGAGAGAGAGATGCTCTGGTGCTTCTCAGTGCCTCTGACTCTTGAGCAGACTGTGGCGACTGAAGGCTGCAGGGCATGTTGTAGCGTCGAGACTCCCTCTTGTGGTCCACACACAGACATGGTCACCACTTCCTGGCCAAGACTTTTCTGAAACTTCTGAGAGCTTCCCTCCATCTGTCCGCCCCAGTTATCCATACTTGTTGGGTCCTTGGGTACAGGGCACAGTATTTGAGATGCAGGCTGCCTTCCTTAGAATTTTCTGACTGAGCTATCCTTTCTGTACGGCTTAATTTTATAGGAGGCAGAGATACCCCAGGACGCCAAGATACTTTGATTCTGTGAAAGTGGCTCATTTGAGGGTACTTGGAACTCTTGCCATGCCTGGAACACATCTAAGTCCCCTTGACTAATGCCAGCTCAGGCTGAGGCAGTGGGCTGTCTTGTCATCCCTCGGCCAGCACTCAGGGCTGGGTGCAGCACTGGCCTCATGATGGGGAGTAGTAAGCATCTTGCCATATTCCTGCAGCAAGCAGCTTGAGGCCAGGTGTGGTGGACCTGTCAGGGATGTGTGGGAAGGTAGCGGTATCAATGACTAGAGAAGCGAGCAGCCTACGGCCTCACTGTCTCTGAGGCCGCCTAGGCACCCTTGTTTGGGGTGGTTATTGTGCTAGTTGGCTCATACATTAAGAGACAAAGTAAAATGTTCTCTAGAATGCAGGGTAGATGGAAAACTCAGAGAGCTGACGAGGCCAGAAGATAAGAGGAATATGAGATACAGGGTAGGTGTGGCCTACATGGAACTGCAGCCAACACGTCCTCTCTGAAGGAGTGGCTGGCCTCCCATCGTTTGCCCATTGTCCCATCTTCTGCCCAGTTCCTGCAGATGGGAATGTGGGTCAGCGTGAGCAAATTTTCAGGTCATGATAGGAAATCTTTTGTTGTTGTTATGACATTTTCAGAAATGGTTTCACATCCAAACTTTTTTTTTTTTCAGATTTACTTATTTATTAAGGATATAGTGTTATGCCTTGTATGTATGCCTGCATGCCAGGAGAGGGCATCAGATCTCTTTATAGATGGCTATGAGCCGCCATGTGGTTGCTGGGAATTGAACTCAGGACCTCTGGAAGAGCAAACAGTGTGCTCTTAACCTCTGAGCCATCTTTCCAGCCCACATCTGAACTTCTATAAAGCCCTTTGTGAACCAAATCCAACACAGTTGTTGTCAGTGGGTGGTATACATTAGAATTAAAAACATTTTTTTCCCAACCAAGAACAAATTGTTCTATTGAAAAAAAGAATTAGTGCCTATCACATAGGAAACTTACATTGCTCTCTTTGTGCTTTTTATCTGTTCCACAGGTGACAGAGACATAAGAATCGATGACATCCAGAATTTAAAAGTGGTAGAAAACTTCATTAATGAAAGCATGCGGTTCCAGCCCGTTGTGAACTTGGTCATGCGCAGAGCCCTGGAAGATGATGTCATTGATGGTTACCCGGTTAAGAAAGGAACTAACATCATCCTGAATATTGGAAGAATGCACAGGCTGGAATATTTCCCCAAGCCCAATGAATTTACCCTTGAAAACTTCGAGAAGAATGTAAGAGCTCCTCCCTAGCACTGAGCATGTTGTTTCTGGTGGCGTAATCTTACCTGCTCCAGTCCTGATGCCTGCACCGTACCCCTGCCCTCTTCCTCCACACTTCACGGGAGCACCTGTGTCCTATAGTGCAGAGGACGGCTGACACACCCACCCCAAACCAAAGATGCCGGCGCTCTATCTCTGTAAAATATTTGTATAGTTGCCACCAAGGAAAGCAAAACAACAACCACAAAAATCCTTAATTTGGCCAAGATTTATTAAAGGCAACTGATCTTCCATTCAAATTTATCATTTAATTAAAAATTCTTAGGTGTAGGAGTGTTTTTGCCTGCATGTCTGCAAGTATACCATTTATGTGCCTGGCACACACAGAGTTCAGAAGAGGCCATCCTAACCCTGGGCATGGGAGTTATGGATGGTTGTGAAACACTATGTGGGTGCTGGGAACCGGACCTGGGTCTTCTGGAGAACTATCCAGTGCTCTTACCACTGAGCCATCTCTCTAGCCCTGAGTTTATCAGTTTTTATATAATAAAGTTAAAAAAATAATGGACCGCTTTAGCATAAACTGCACCACCAGCTAGGCAAAGGAAATCCACTTCTGCTTTAGATAGAAATAAAATAGAATTTAGTTTTTATCACTGCCTTTATTCTATCAAATGGTCTCAAGCAGTGGGTGTTATCTTAAATAAAACTCAATGATTTAAAGAATCAACCTTCTTTTCCATATAGCAGGTCTGTAGGGGATAATTTTGCTTTCGTTGTGTCATAACAATATTACCAAGACAGAGCTTTCTAAAAAGCTCCCATGCTTCCTCTTTTCCTACATGTGTGTAGCTTAGAGACCCCATGCTGATAGAGTTCGCTAATGTTTCTAGACAGGAAACCCAGAGAACGCCTTGTCAGTCAATTAGCCAGCAATCTTTATTTATTTTGTGATTGTAGTGTATTGAGGTCATGTAGATATGTGTTAGACAAGACAGAAAGCCAGACATGATCCTCACTAATTTTCACAGTAGCTAAAAGTAGTCAGAGGACCTGGTGTAATGGTGCATTCCTATAATCCTAACACTCTGAGGTCGAGGCAAGAGGGTCAGAACTTTGGGGCCAGCCCAGGCCACAGGGATCCTCTCCTTTGCTCATACATACAAGAAGCTTGACACTATAGTCCAGACAGCCATAGCTTTTCTCTTCATTTTATCCATTCTATGAGGTCACACAAAACCAAACTTTGTCTTAGTTACTGCCAAAGCACCAGGGAAGCTGAAACGGCTCTACCAAGTTTCTGAATAGTATCATAAAGTGGTGATTTGCACTGCCTTACCCCAGCTTTTTGACATGTAAAGCAAACGTGGGATCTATCTGTGGCCGGGCCCGTGTCACAGGACAGGCACAGTGGGTGAGAACGGTGCTTCTTTGGCCACAGTTGTTCGTCTCGGGGAGGAAGCAGTCTGACCGAGGGTCAGGCCAGGGTGTTCCCACTGGCAAGCGTCTTCAGAGAAAATGGAAGCCCCTGACTAATCATCTGCTCATTTTCATAGGTTCCCTACAGGTATTTTCAGCCGTTTGGCTTCGGGCCCCGCAGCTGTGCTGGGAAGTACATAGCCATGGTGATGATGAAAGTTGTCCTGGCTACACTGCTGAAACGATTCCAGGTGAAGATCTTGCAAAAGAGGAGCATCGAAAACATGCCGAAAAAGAATGACCTGTCCTTACACCCGAATGAGGACCACCACCTTGTGGAGATAATGTTCTCTCCAAGGGATTCAGACAAGTACCTCAAACAGTAAAAAAGCATGGTCGGTGTCCACTCCGGAGCATCACTTATCAGTAGTTACACGGAAATCATCCATGTCAGTGAGTCGGTGGCATCGGCTCCACAGCGAACATTTGATGGTCTGAAGCATTTTATGATCACAGCTGCAGTTTGTCAGAAAGATGGGCATCCATCCAGACAGCCGGATGCAAAAGAAAGGAGTTTGTATTGGAGATCAGTGAAGAAACTGAAGCCTTAAAGGACCGATACTACAAAATATACCTTAGGGAAGACAGGCCATCAGCAAAACCTGTCTGGCCTTCTGCTAGACTTCCACCGCTCTTGTCAGCACAGCAAAGTGACTCTGGCAGAGGGACTCAAGTTATTAGAAAGGCCAGACACACATACCAGCATGTGGAGCCAGGCACACCTGATACTGTGGGTAAATGAATGAAGGGACTTCCATTTGTGTGCAGGTGCATGCACGTGTGTGTGTGTGTGTGTGTGTGTGTGTGTGTGTGTGTGTGTGTGTGAGAGAGAGAGAGAGAGATGCGTGCGAGTGCGAGTGTGTATGTATGTGAGCGCGAGGTGAGGGTAGGTTGGAAGTAACAATCTAGACTCTTGCAGTTAAGCCCGGTTCCTTATGATGGATCCACATGTAAACTGTTCAGGGCAAACGTTAACCGTGAGGGTATCCTTTCATACCCTCGATTCATGCTCCCAGACACGTAGTTTGACTGTAGTAAGCATAGATTCAGATAAAGTATACCTAATTAGTATTAGCCCGAGTAAAATATAGCCAGGACTGTATGTGTGGTGTGGGGGACAGTCACATGGTGCGGTTCAGGTAAATACGTCTTTTTCTTTCTGTAATGTTTGCACCGCTGCTGAGTTTCATGAGTGGTTTGAGGAGAGGAGATTTCCGCCTTCATCTACTACAGCAGCCCAGCGGGCCCCGACTTCTAAAGAGGTAGTTCTCCCTTTGACAGATCTTCTTTCCTTCCCCCCATGACCCCTTTTTTTTTTCAAAGAAAAAAGGGTCAAACCCCCAAATCATTTTTTCATCCTACCTCAAATTTAATAGTTACCTTGGAGATTTAACAAGTAACTGGTTCACTGAATCACCATAGCCATGAATAAAATGTACACCTTGGAATTAACTCTCTGAGAGGACTCAAATAAATGGATCGACTTTCTCTACCTTGGTTTGTGTTCTAAAGTCACTGTCAATGTATTCAATAGTCGTAACTTAAAACCCGAAGGTTAAGGCTCACTGACAAACCTTTCCAGTGGGTTGACAGCCACCACGTGCTGTGCGAACATTTCTTTTGTTTCACTGGTTAGCAACAAGGTCACAGATGAGTGTGAAATACGCACAGGCGCCTTGAAAGCATGAGCCGTCTTTTCGTCATCCGCCTCTGTCCCTCTTCCACTCCCAGTCTGACTTTCCGTATTCACTGTCAAGATCAGCTCAACATAGACACACTCGCTCATAGCTGTATTAAAACTTTAAGGGCGAACATTGTTAGGAAGAACATATTTGTGCTTGAATTTATATGCTATAAATCCAAGAGATGGAATATAGCCATCCACCTACATCTGTCTGTTTACAGGTCCAGACAACCTAGCCATTTTGCCTCCCAGGCTGAAGGAGGTGAGGGTTAGAGTATCAAGCTAGCTCACTTGACCGTTCTCAGTGCTGTCTCTGGAGACGCATGGCTGAAGAGATTACTTGTCACTCTTCTCCTCTCACCCGACTCTCCTGAAACATCTGCTTTTATCTTACGTGTAACTATGCATTGAAGGCCTATATTTTCTAGTGGAGTGAAGAGTTGAAAGAGTTGTATCTAGATAATATAGACACAAATATGTTGGGGAAAAATGAGTCAGGGGTAGAGAAGTTGGAAAGGACAAAGAAGAGAAGTGCTGGGTCAATGATGTAGGCAGATTCTCCCAGAATCAAATATTGGGTTAATTGTTGAGCTTAGCCTCTTTAGACAATCACCGTATGTTCTCACAAGGCTGGGCTGAGGAATCTCTCTATTGGCTTTCCATTAGGCTGATGAACACATATTTGAAAGCCTATTATCTCTTAAAAATCTTGTATATTGTTAAGTGCTTGTTATTCTTGAATGTGCCAAAGATTCTGGTTTTTGCCAGTTTTTTTTTTTTTTTAAACTTAAATGTATCTTACCAGTGTCAAGTTGTGAGAAAAATTTTACCCTCTCCCTTTAATCACCTCCCTTATACCAGGCTTTCCCTGAGATGGTATGTTTCTCTTTCCGAGTGGAAAATAATCAGGTTCAGGATGTCTTCTCATACTGGGAAATGACCATTGGAAATTGTCATTTTGTCTTTCTAAGTATGACTTGTCACTGTATGGGCATGTGGCACCCAGTGACATCCTAAAATGGCATTAACTATACTCTTTTGTCTCTTGCATCAGTTCTGGGGCTGACCTCTGACCCAGACCTTCAGAAAGACTTGTTAAACTGAACTTTGTAATTAATTGATACTTTCAGTCAGATGCTCAATTTAATTTAGGAAGTTAGGACCTCCATCTTTTGAAGCACCCCTTCACATCCCTATTTTTATTGTTCGTTACCTAACGACTAGAGGTCCCTCTACACATAACTCATCACACCTGGGCAGTCTCCAGATTCTGTTGGTAAAAACTCCTAGTTTTTAAACGGGATCTGTCACTTGAAGAAGCGACCCCATTGAGACTGGAACCCGTGACCTTGTTCCAGTTTCTTTAAAGTGATCTTTAGCTCCCCTGTCTTCTGTCTTGATTATGCACTGTGTATAAAATTGCCAGGGCAGCAGCCAATCTCGCAGAGCCTATCCTAAGACATGACTGTTTGGCGGAGCATAGATTCCAACATGGAATTGAGGCAATGCACCACTCCCTGGAGATGGCAAGCTTCCAGGGATGCACCACTCCCTGGAAGCTCTGCCGACCTCCCTCAGCCTCACGTTCATTGGAGGATGTGCTTCCACACCGGAAGAACATCACTGCTCAAACCAGACAGCAGGGGCAGACAAGCAAAGATTTGTCAGTTTTGAATCCGGCAGCTTCCAGCAGAGGGGGGGTGCAACCCTCCCTGGCTTCTGGCAGTCCCTCACCACATAGTCTGCCAGACAGTCTTGTCACCGCATAGTCTGCCAGACAGTCTTGTCACCGCATAGTCTGCCAGACAGTCTTGTTGGTAGTATTGTCTGGTAAACAGAAATGCCCTTCAATATCCTCACTCCAGAAGTTTGCCTCAGTTTAAATCAGAAGCTGTCCACTAGGAGCTACAACTTGCAGAAAGTTACTCTGTGTGCTTTGCTTTCTACGTTTGAACGTAGCTGAACCATAGTGTCTACCTGCTGGAGTTGTGACACTGGAAACTACCTGCTTTCTAGTGAATATTCAATATACATGATCCAGGGACATTAGAAATGTATTAATTTAGCCTTAAAAGTATTTATAGAGCACACTCTGCTGGGTGTTTAGGAGAAATAACAATGAATAAGATATTCTCTCAAACCTATTATAAATATTATTTTGACATTTTAATCTATTGTCCTGATAACACTGTAATCTATACTTTCTTTCATTGCCTTTGTTACAAGCTCAGCCCCAAATATGAAGGCAAGTGAGTGCTTCCTGATGTTTTGCTCACATCTTCTTTCTAGCTGGCTCTCACAGTTTTGTTTATGCCTCCTCCTTTACTAAGTCAGTGCGTAGACCTTTGACTTGCCCTGCTTCACGTAGAGATCTGTGCTTTACCCTTCCTGATGGACAGTCAGAGCCAGGCACTCTGGGAACAGGAGTGCTGCCAATCTGGAAAAGGGGATTTCAGATAAGGAAATGACTAAGGGGGCCTGAGGGGAAGGAAAGGGAAGCACCGATGATGAAAACACCTCAGAGAAACACAGGATGAATCCACAGCACAGGACAAACAATGAAAATAAAGACCTGGATGAAAGCTAGCTTGAGTGGGCCGAGGAGAAAAGGCTGTGAGGGGAGATGAGAAGCACCTGCTACAGGAGAAGCCTTTAGCCATGTTAGGAGCAGAGCAAAGGGGGAGGGAAGCCAAATAGTAATTCCTTTCAGTAAGGAGATAGAGAAGAGGCACAGAACACATCACCCACCAGGGAAAACAAGAGCAGCTAGTCTGAGAAGAAACACATTACAAAGGTCAGCTGCTAAGTGTCTGAGTTCTCCTGAGACAGTGAGCCTGCCCTGGGAAGCTGGTATTGCTTTCTGGGGGTCTGGAAGTGGGTGTAAACAGCTGGCCACATGCAAACCTTAGGGCTATAACAGATCAACTTTGAAGTTCGCTCAGAACGTATTAGAGGCCTACAGATGGTATGTCATACTTGACCCTAACAAAGAAAAAGCACAACAGAGAAGTTGCTGATAGTGCCAAAGGGTAAATGAGGCAGACTCATCTCTTAAGCCTGAGTCACAAAAATGTCTTGCCTAAATAACTCATACCTTAAAAAAAAAAATAGATTCAGCAAAAATATGGGCCCCTGTGGGCCAAAATGCATGTACTGTAACCATAAAGTAGAACCTTCTCAAATGTCTGCCCATTATATAAAAGATAAATTGTGTCTTTATACATCTGCAGTGAGAATTTTGGTGTCTTAAAAACACAGAAATATTGTAAGAATAGGTTGTGTTTCAGGTGTGGGGTATGGAGCTGCTTTGAGCCCAGCTGCTGACTATGATTTGCCTCATGCTCTGGTTGGGGTGTGATTTTTGCCAGCGTCAGATAGTTTCTGCGATTGTGTGGTATTTGCAATTCTGGGTGACTTTTCAGAGGGTATATGAATGCTAGGGCCCCAAGAGGCAGGGTGGGTGTTGGTTGCTGTTGGTCTCAGTTAAGTAGTCGTGCCCAAGGAAGAAAGAAGATGAAATTAGATATCCTGATGGTGAAGATCAAACTTGTCCCAAGGAGCTTGATGCCCCAATCAGCAGGGAGTCATCTAATGATAATGTTGCCCACTTCCAACCCCTAACTTTATTCGGGGATCCCTTTC